TCAATATTAATTTTTTGGATAAAATTTATTTAAATTTTTTTTGAATTCAATTAATTCCCTCCATTAACCGAACCATCAGTTTATTATTAAGTGGACGTCTTAACCGCGAGTTAAGTGGGCGTGAGTGGTGAAACTGCTCAAAGTAGGGAGTTGTACGAGGTTTAACCGTCAACTCTCTCCTCTATTTAAAGGATCCTTAGGCTTTCATTTCAATACACCAACAAACATACACGAGTTCATTCTGCATACATACAGTCTTTCAGTTTTCTTTTTCTGCATTAGTCTACAGAGAGTATTTTCGTTTTGGTTCGTTGTCTTGCAGTCGAAGTGCTGCTTCTGCAAGTGTCTGATCGTTGTATCTTGGGAGACGCTTTACCACATACCGTAAGCATCGTGCGACGGGGTAGAAACGTCTTAAGGACAGAGAGCCTAGTTCTCGCCTCGATCATCTTCATTCCAAATTCTGCAATTGTTTATGTTTTACTCATTTAATGCTTTCTGTTCTTACTCGTTTAGCTTATTACTTTCAGGCAAAACTTTATGAAATACTTTATTACATTCTGCAAGTCAATTCTGGAAATTTTAATATTCTGCAAAACTTTATAACCAACATATAGTTGACATAATAATAATCAAAATAGACAAGATATTTTAGAGTGACAGGGTTCATAGTTGTACTCAATGAAACAAACGGTTAATTGGTAACAAAATAAAACACAGGAAGTTAACTGGATGGATGAGGACAGAGGTTATAACTTATGATGTTTCTAGTTTAAAGCTGAAGTGTTCATCCTGTTAGTCTTCTCTTAACATTTATTTGGAGCTAGCATCCTATTTTAAGTCCTTATTATTTATGTCAAGCATTATATAATCATTCGGTATAGTCATTTTTCCAAGAGATCTAGACTTTGCTCTTGAACATGCATTATTTTTCCCGCATCTATTCTTGTGTTCATCAAATTCTGCATGCAATCTGATAGAAGAAGCTTCCTAGATTCAAGAACTTGCAAAAACATATTAACATCTTTCAATGTTTAATGGAGTGATTTTTATAATTGTACTGAATTAAAGATTCCAGGTTATCTAGTTTAGGATGGCATTTGATTTTTTTACCTGGAAAACAGGAATGGCAGTGCTCTCTAGGGAAGGAGACTGCATGGAACCTATTGTCATTATTCACGGAAAGTGGAATTCTATTCTTAGAAATTAGCTTAGTGGCCTTCTTGCTCCAGGATAGTTATGCTAGTGGATTGGAAGCTCTGGCACGTACTTTCATAGTTTCAGGTGTCTTTGTGGCTGTTGATATACTTCTCCAGGTAATATCTGTTTGCTTTTTGTAGCATAAATGCTCTAACTATTCAGCACAATGCATATGTACTGCTATGACATTAATTGACTTGCTATCCCAATGTGAAACCTGTTTTTGATCATTTTTTGGTATTCTTGTCTCTTGCATGACCTTTCACCCAATGTGTTCGTACACTATCTTTGCAGTGATGAACAGCTCATACTAATGCATGTATGATTCCGGTAGCTTAGAATAATGACCATTCATTCTTGAATTGAAGCTCAGGACTTGTGAAATACTATCCGTGTCATTTCAGTGGTGGCCATGGTTTCCCAATGATGCCTACCTTGATAAAATTTTGCATAATGTCTGTAAAAATTATTCAAATATTTAATGCTGTTAATATTACAGTATAGCAACGACAGTAAATTAATTTGTTAATACTCCAAAAGGCATATCTAGAAATGAAGTCTCTGATCCTTCCATTGTACACTCCTTCACTTCAAAGACCACCTGAGTCTCTCCTTAACAAATATTTCAAAAGAGACATGAAGATGCACTTCTTCACACAAAATAAAACTGCAGATTGTTATCACGTGAGACCTTTTCCTTTCACAGGTAATATTCATATTTGGATTCGGGGTTCCACTCTTTACTGATGTTGAGACGACACATCGGGGAAAGTGGGGTGTATGGTTCACTCATACCCTAGTGCTTGCAGCAGTCTATGGCTACATAGCATTTGTGCACTATTCAAAGTGGAGAGATAAGTTGCCACGTGAGTTTAACTTTTTCCTTAGTCGAGTCTCGTTTTTGCTTTTCTCCTCCAACTAACCCGATTCCCAACTGTGTGCTGGGGCAAACTTTCAGCAAGACCGGCATTCTACAACTACGTCATCCTCATGTTTATAGTCGATGTAACTTCATTGTTTGCCTGTGGGCTTGCTGGAATTGGAGCTGGCTTCGGACTTTGGTACTATGATTTTTTTTTCTGCGACCATGTACTAACACCAGATTTGTCATCTACTCCAACTGATTTGAGATGATTGTCTTCCTCTCTGCAGGTTGTACAATTTTATAGTGATAGTTCGTCACTCTCTATATCTTCCATTTCTGTACATAATTTTTCTTGCCGACTTTTTCCAGGTAATTATTTACTATCGTAACTGAATTGAGAGGTACTCACATTTCCATTTTACCATATAGGGGTTGACTTAATTTATGTGCTTCCTATCGCTATATTTTCAGGAGGAAGATTGGCTGTTGGATAATGCTTATTACTCGGAGATGAAAGATGCAGGGTTTTTCGATACTGACTGGGATTAGCTTATGGAAATAATTTGTATGGGACTAAAATATTTCAGCTAGACAGACTTGTAAATGAATTCCTTGTAAATTTCTGCTACATTTACTTTACGTTAAAACATTGTCTTTGAACAATTGAGCTTGGTGCACATTTGTACTACCTCGAGCAAAACAAAAATCCGAAACAAGATGTGGCAGAAACCAAACAGTAAGTCAATCTTTATTCAGGATTGACACCAATAAAATGGATAATATTGAGAAATATTGTTGCTAATCAAATAATGGAATACAATCTACTTATGGGCGTGTTCGGTAGAGATTAAAATCAAATAATGGAAAACAATCTAATTATGCTAAGTCAACATGTGCTAACTACAAAGTTCTATCAACAAATACGTAAATTATATGTGAATTATAAAGGATTGGCCAACAAAATATAAATCAAACCACAAGATTTGGTACTTAAAGTTCACTTTGAATGATATATGTGAACTATAAAGGATTGGCCAACAAAATATAAATCAAACCACAAGATTTGGTACTTAAAGTTCACTTTGAATGATTTTTGAAAAGTCAAAAATTGTTTCGAAAATAAAAAGTTATTTTTAAACATCTTTGAATAATTTCCTAGAAGTATTTTGTCCCCGTTTGGCCCCCTTTCTTATTCTCATTTTTTCTGCACTATCTTATTTTCAACCATAAAATCTTTCATAAATCGAAAAAATTTCTTTCTTTTTCAATCCATCATTCTCCAAAAACACACTATTTCAAATATAAAAATTTGAAAGAAGGGGGCCAAACGGGGCATTTATCTTGTTAGAAGATGATAATTTCCTATAAATATTTTATCTTGGTAGAAGAGTTTTTAGAGAAAAATGACCTAAAATAATTTGACCACGAAACTTTTTTTTAAAAAAAAGCAAAAATCCTGCCAAACGAACACTTAGTCATGATCAAATTTTTTTTAACAACAAATTAGTAAAGCTGAGAAGAAACCACTCAACTTGTTAACTTCCGTGCACATGCCAAATAAAATATTTATCGAAATCTCACAGCAAACAACTTACATAAAAAGAGGGATTCTCAGAAGTTTCAGTCACAAATAAGAATGTATTTGTTATAATTTTTATTGCAAAACAACTATAAACTCGGCATTCATCTAGATAAAACCAAGAATTAAGCCATTTTGCCTGATGATTTTGTCCACCTATTTGACAGATATAGTGTTGAAAGCAGATGATTGGTACAAAAACTAGGACCAAACTACACGTACATAATAATTTACCTAATCTTTTACCGAATCGACAAGTATTTAGGGGGCCGTAATCTTTGTCAATTCGGTAAAAGATTAGGTAAATTATTAGGTACAAGTAGAATTTTCCCAAAAACATACTGTTTTGAAACAGTCTTCCTGTCAATGTAGCGTTATTGTAAACCAATACGAGATGTACAGGAGAACTTTCTCAAACATTTCTTTTGTCCTCTCCCGTGCATCAGAAGTTGAAGTAGAACCCTCAACTTCTAAACCCTCTTAAATCTCTCCCTCCTCTCGTTCACACTCTTCCTCCTTGCAATGCTGCTCTGTCCCCTCGGACCTCATTTTCGAGGAAACCCTCAGAATAATTTGAGTTAAAATTACTGTTTGAACGTTGACTGGCGATTTTATGGACGGAATGCGTGAAATGGACCAACGCTGTAATTATATATAAAGGTTTGGGACTTCGACCGCAAAAATTAAAGGTTTGGGTGTAATCTACAACAAAATGAAAGGTTTGGGACCGCGGCCGCAATTTTCCCTTAAAACAATGTCTTTGAACAATTGAGCTTGGTGCACATTTGTACTACCTCGGGCAAAACAAAAATCCGAAACAAGATGGGGCAGAAACCAAACAGTAAGTCAATCTTTATTCAGGATTGACACCAATAAAATGGATAATATTGAGAAATATAAAATGGATAATATTGAGAAATATTGTTGCTAATCAAATAATGGAATACAATGTACTTATGAGCGTGTTCGATAGAGATTAAAATCAGATAATGGAATACAATCTACTTATGTAAAGTCAACATGTGCTAACTACAAAGTTCTATCAACAAATACGTAAATTATATGTGAATTATAAAGGATTGGCCAACAAAATATAAATCAAACCACAAGATTTGGTACTTAAAGTTCACTTTGAATGATATTTGAAAAGTCAAAAATTGTTTCGAAAATAAAAAGTTATTTCTAAACATCTTTGAAGAATTTCCTAGAAGTATTTTGCCCCCGTTTGGCCCCTTTCTTATTCTCATTTTTTCTGCTCTATTTTATTTTCAACCATAAAATCTTTCATAGATCGAAAAAATTTCTTTCTTTTTCAACCCATCATTCTCCAAAAACACACTATTTCAAATATAAAAATTTGAAAGAAGGAGGCCAAACGGGGCATTTATCTTGTTAGAAGATGATAAATTCCTATAAATATTTTATCTTGGTCAGAGAAAAATGAACTAAAATAATTTGACCACGAAACTTTTTTTAAAAAAAAAGCAAAAATGCTGCCAAACGAACACTTAGTCATGATCACATTTTTTTTAACAACAAATTAGTAAAGCTGAGAAGAAACCACTCAACTTGTTAACTTCCGTGCACATGCCAAATAAAATATTTATCGAAATCTCACAGCAAACAACTTACATAAGAAGAGGGATTCTCAGAAGTTTCAGTCACAAATAAGAATGTATTTGTTATAATTTTTATTGCAAAACAACCATAATCTCGGCATTCATCTAGATAAAACCAAGAGTTATGCCATTTTACCAGATGATTTTGTCCACCTATTTGACAGATATAGCGTTGAAAGCAGATGATTGGTACAAAAACTAGGACCAAGCTACACGCACATAATAATTTACCTAATCTTTTACCGAATCGATAAGTATTTAGGGCGCCGTAATCTTTGTCAATTCGATAAAAGATTAGGTAAATTATTAGGCACAAGTAGAATTTTCCCAAAAACATACTGTTTTGAAACAGTCTTCCTGTCAATGTAGCATTATTGTAAACCAACACGAGATGTACAGGAGAACTTTCTCAAACATTTCTTTTGTCCTTTCCCGTGCATCAGAAGTTGAAGTAGAAGCCTCAACTTCTAAACCCTCTTAAATCTCTCCCTCCTCTCGTTCAGGGTCTTCCTCCTTGCAAGGCTGCTCTGTCCCCTCGGACTTCATTTTCGAGGAAACCCTCAGAATTTTTCCCTTTCTTTATGCTTTTGTACTAGGGCTTGTCTTACTTGAGGGCATGGCTGCTTGTGATGATCAGGAAGCAGGCAAAGCTAACTTGCAAGGGTGCTTTGGCCCCTGAGAAGTGCACAGATAAATTTTAACAAACAAACAATGACTAGCGTTTCCTAAATAGAATTCATCCCCGTCTGGTAGAGACATATCTAATCAGACGAAATAGATTTTGAAGAGCTACGTAACCTAGCCTAGGTTGCTTTCACCAACTGATGCATGTCATCAGGGCTGGTCCTGTGATTTTCGGGATCGAGGTGAACTCCCGAAATTGGGCCCTCAAAGATCAACGTAAATGCAAAATACAATGGTGCATTATACAACGTATTGCTAACTTAACACTGAAGAATACAACAACAAACAAATAAAGAACAAAAGATTTATATATATTATAAAGTAACAAAACTGACAAGAGTTCAAACAATCAGTTAAAATATCTCAATCATCTCACAATTAAAGTATTCGATACAGTGACTACGTGCACCTGTGCAATTGATCCTACTCGCTACAATGAACATTCATACAAGCCGACCAGGCCACAATTATATAAGCCGACATACAAGGCTTTAAACCTTTTCAATATCAAGTTAAAGCAAGCCATTGCTTACTTGAGAAGTAGAAATCTACGGAAATTGTGGAATCACGCCCTATTCCAGCATCCAGCGTTGCATCTCAGTTCTCACAAACCTGAAATTGAATCATTCACATATAAACAACATATTCACAATCATTTACAGAAAAGGAAACTGGAAAGCTATTATATTATAGTCAGATTCACAACAATCATATTCACAATCATCCACCGATAAACAACATATGGAAGAATCGAATGGCAATCAAGAAATTCTATCATTATTAATGTTGCAAAATGACATCAAACAATTAGTAAATCTAGTTGAGAAGCCACAAATTTCAAGATGATGAGGCAAAAAAAATTTTAATGGGCAAAATATACATGTATTACGTAAATATAAAAAATTCAAAATTTCTACATTGATCTAAATAACAAACCATTATATTTCCGAGCAAAGTCATGGGAGAAATAAAGAAAACCTGGTGTTCTTAATTTCAGTTTGTAGAGAGGTGCACATGTGAGAATTCGATTTTATCAATTTGAATGGGGAAGACAGATAAGCTGACATGTCAAGTTTTGAATTTTTAAGACAGGCAAAACTACATAGCAGGACTCAATGTGACAGTTCCTTAAATGAAAGCACCAACTAATTTCAAGCCATTTATCACCCGATATGAACAGAAACCTAGACGGACTGAGCAACAAATTACATCATAACTTCTAAACTAACCTGCAATCAAACACCGAATGTCCTCATCTATGAAGCCCAGCAAAAAGCAACTCCAACTCCTCATCTTGTGATGTGTCTCCCTATCAACCAAGAATAAATATCACATTAGTAATTTGGAGTCAAAAAATAAAAACATCAGATCTTTATATACCCCATCGTACATGAGACATAAACCATACCAATTTGGGGGATGGAGGGAGAGAGAAGGGAAAAACAAAGTCGGTTAATATAATCCATGTCCAGTACATCAATCTGAAACCATGATTTACAAATAGCATTATTCATGTAATATTGGTAAGACGAAACATACTATATTTCAGATATTAGCTAATTGTTGAATACCCCTATAATCCCCATATGCAGGAGTTATTTCCATCTAAACCTTAAATCCAGCAAGCACTAAATTTCCGTTAATAAAAAAATCTCTAGCAAAATTTC